GCTTAAAAACGAATTTAAGATAGGTAGAAATACAATGCAAAAATGGGGTAAAAAGGGGTGAGATTCTTACCCTTGAAGCCTTCTTCAACAATGATGCTCCAATGGCCTTCCTTAGCTTGAATCCAACACCAAAACCTCAAAATCAGTCCTTTAGAACCTCAGTTCCAAGAGGAAGGTGAAACACTAGGTGCTTGTCATCATAAGCAGGTAAATAAAAGGGAAGAAAGAAGTGGGGTTGGAAGACATACACACCACCCACACACACTTATTACAGATTTGCCCTCACTCGGAGGGACCAAATAAATATTACAGATTAATTAACTACGCAAGCTAATTAAATATTACAAATTAATTAATTAATTAACAAATTAATTTGAACTAAGAAAAGTAGTAAACGCCTCGGGAGGAGAGCTCGATGCAACGCACGCCCGGTCCTGCTCGGAAATGCACCGCCATGCATAGGCTGCCTCTGTTTTCCTTCCTTCACTTCTCTGGAGGCTGCCAAAACCTCAGAACTGCATCCTTGGACATTGGGGAGTGCCACCGACTGAATGGAATCACCACCGGCAGTGGGATGTGGTCACCGGCACAAAATGAAGCTATCGGCATAGAAGATATTGCCGGTCGGCACTTAACACTGCCGGTCGGCAATTTGCTCCTACAGAATCTGCAAATGACAGCAACAGAGGGCAAGGCAAAGCATGGCAGCACAATTCAAGGCATGTATGCAACAATCATGTCCCTTATCATGGTAATGACTCAAAGGGGCATGTGCCTCGATTCTCGGACCATCAATCACGCATTTCCATGCATGATGGCCCAAGGAACCAAGTATGCAACTTTCATGTCAAATGAAATGCAAACCAATCAAACAAATTAAGGCCCAATTCCTATCACTAAGTCAAGGAACAAGGCATGCATGCAAAATGCAATGCAACCTAGGCATACAAGCTAAGGATGCAACATGGCATGGCAACAAACTTATGCAAGCATACAAGCAAACATGAGGCAATGCCAATCAATGGAAAGATGGACTTATGCAAGGTTTAGGCAACTCTAATAAGGCCTAAAACAAGGGCCAAAGTGCTACAATGAGGGACCAAATACACATGCACACATACATATGTTAAAAGGCCAACACTTAGGCACAAATTGAACAACTCTCAAACACATTTGAAAGAAGATAAACATGGACATATAGCATGCAACATGAGTATTAAAATCATGTTAAAACATAATGCCAAACCAAGCAATAAATCAAGCAAAGCATGCAACAAATGGCCTAAGTGCTTGGGGCAAGTCAAGGCGACTTGAACCATGACTAAGCCAACCAAGCCTCACACGGCTAAGGGGGCTTAAAATAGGTTCAAGGCAGACCTAGAACACGCAAAGGGGACCCCCTAGATGGCATCTAAGCTGCTCAATTTCAAAGCATGCACTATGGCCAAAACATGGAACATGCAACACATGCTTCCAAAGCATTAAAGAGGCATGCAAGGCAATCAAGCAAGCATGAAAATGGGACTGAAATAGCATGTAGGGTGGCCCCAAATCACCAAAACAATGCAAGGATGGCATGCTATGCATTCACATACTTAAGGCCAACAAGCCGGAATGCAAAGGGGCTACATAATGCATGCCAAATTCGACCCAAACAACCTAGGACAGACCTAGAACATGGCAATATAAGCACAAAATCTTCACAAGACCAAGCCTAAAACATGCTCTAACAAGGGCTAACAACCTAAGGCACATCAAGGCATAAACAAGGCATTACATGGCAACTATGCTAAGCATGCATGGAGTACCAAAACGATGTAAAAACAGAGGCATAACATGACATATTAAGCATAAAAAGCAGCCAAGTCATGACCAATACACACTCTAACATGATGCTCCCTCAAGAAGCCAAAACATGCCCTTTTCAAGGACAACAAGGAGAGGGGGTGGCCCTCTCCTTCTTGGGACTTCAAGGCATCACCTTCACCACTGAAATCCCTCAAGATTTCAGTGGTGAAGAGACCCTAACACCAAAATCCCGGAGCTAGCACAAAAGGGCACAAAATGAGGCCTTTCAAGGCCTAAGGGTGTTCAAACTTACCCAAACCACAAAACACTCTTAACAAACAACCAAGAGGGTCTAAAAACAGAACTTTTTTATGTTATACAATAAGCTCAAAAAAAACCACAAAACACTCTTAATAAACAATCAAGAGGACTAAAAAACAGAACTTTTTTGTGTTATACAATAAGCTCAAAAACGATTTTAAGATAGGTAAAAATGAGATGCAAAAATGGGGAATAATGGGACTAGATTCTCACCCTTGAAGACCCCTTTACAAATGATGCTCCAATGGCCCTCCTTGGCTTGAATCCAACACCAAAACACCAAAATCAGTCCCTTAGAACCTCAGTAACTAAGTGAAGGTGAAACACTAGGTGTTTGTGTGCAATAGTAAGACACAAAACACCTAGAGCACAAAAGAGAGTGAAAGAGAGATAGGATGTGTATCTAACCCTAACCCTAAAACCAGAGCTTAACAATGGCTGTCTAAGCTCTCAAAATATCTTAAGTCTCTCCAACCTTTGCAACAAGAGAGAGCCCCTCTCTATATAGAAGCTTTTGTCTTGTAAAGCTTACAAGACAAGCTTCATAAGAGGGAGATCCCTCCATAAGGGGAGCCAAAAGCAAGACAGCTGTCTTAAAATATCTGCAAAAGCAGATGAACAGTAGTCGACCGGTCAAAAAGGTCATCTTGGCCAAAAGGAGTGCCGACCGGCACTAAATAGTGCTGACCAGCAACCAGATGCACAGTAATCGGCTGGCCAAAAATATCATTTTGGTAAAAAAGAGTGCCGGCCGGCAATGTACATTGCCGGTGGCAGCAAAAACCAGCCGGTGGCCTCTAGCCACTGCCGGTGGTGAGTGGGGATGCCTCACAAGGCATCCCCTGCCCCTCCAAGGCAAAACACAAGTGTTTGGTGTGAAACCACACTAAACGGTCGAGTTCGGAGATCCTGAGGCAAGGCGCGCGAGTCGAGACCTCCGGGAACTCCAAACGAACACAAACATAGATAATCACCGAGTGTTCCAACGGTGACGTCCAAGTCTTGAGGACGGTCAAAAATGGGGTGTCTACATATGGTTATGTTGTGCACTTTGTATAGTTATGATTATGTTCAACCTGTCCGTTACAGGGTGTAATGAAAATAGGGAATAAGTATATTTTCTCCATTACAGGGTGTAATCAAAACAGGAAATAAAATCAAACTTGTCCATTACATTACATTACAGGGTGTAATCAAAACAGGAAATAAAATCAAACTTGTCCATTACATTACATTACAGGGTGTAATCAAAACAGGAAATAAAATCAAACTTGTCCATTACATTACATTACAGGGTGTAATCAAAACAGGAAATAAAATCAAACTTGTCCATTACATTACATTACAGGGTGTAATCAAAACAGGAAATTTTAAAATTCAAATTGACATAGAAACATTGATTTTAGTTTTTAATGATGTCATCCAAACTAAAGCATTATATATCTCCATTCTTATTTTGAATATCCCAATTGTGAGAATTGGTATCATATGGCATGCAAAGTTTAAAGCTGTGCACTTTCTAGAAATTAAGAATGTAAACTAAACAATTCTAGAAATTACATTTTTAAACAAATGTGAAAAATGGCGTTTGAAGAATTTAAATTGAATGGAAAAACAGAGTAAACTATGAATCAAACTTCTGACCGTATTAATGAAGAATTTATCATGTGAAGTAAAAAAACATCATCGTTCTTGGGTGTAATAAAAAATGTACGCAAACATTGAAATCCCCACCAAACATGAATACATTAATACTAAACTCTCACCCCTTCTTGGGTGTAATAAAAAATGTCCATAAAAAAATTCAAATCCCACCAAACATTACAAATACATATGACCTTGTGCAGTGTAAACACCCCAAAGTAAACCAGCATAAAGAAAAGAATAAGTGAAATGAAAAAAAAATTAATAATGCATTTTCATTTTAAAAAACAAACAATACGATATGTTACCTCAACATAATTACTACCCATGGCAAAATGATGTCGAGATTGACCTTGTGCAGTGTAAACACCCCAAAGTAAACCAGCATAAAGAAAAGAATAAGTGAAATGAAAAAAAAATTAATAATGCATTTTCATTTTAAAAAACAAACAATACGATATGTTACCTCAACATAATTACTACCCATGGCAAAATGATGTCGAGATTGACCTTGTGCAGTGTAAACACCCCAAAGTAAACCAGCATAAAGAAAAGAATAAGTGAAATGAAAAAAAAATTAATAATGCATTTTCATTTTAAAAAACAAACAATACGATATGTTACCTCAACATAATTACTACCCATGGCAAAATGATGTCGAGATTGACCTTGTGCAGTGTAAACACCCCAAAGTAAACCAGCATAAAGAAAAGAATAAGTGAAATGAAAAAAAAATTAATAATGCATTTTCATTTTAAAAAACAAACAATACGATATGTTACCTCAACATAATTACTACCCATGGCAAAATGATGTCGAGATTGACCTTGTGCAGTGTAAACACCCCAAAGTAAACCAGCATAAAGAAAAGAATAAGTGAAATGAAAAAAAATTAATAATGCATTTTCATTTTAAAAAACAAACAATACGATATGTTACCTCAACATAATTACTACCCATGGCAAAAGGAGGTCGAGATTGCCTTTGTGGAGTGTAAACACCCTAAAGTAAACCAACATAAAGCAAAGAATAAGACAAAGTTCATAATTCCGTATGAGGTTCAATTTCCCTAACGTCTATGCATGTCAAAGGTAAACACCCTAAATTACATATTACCTGTATCGAATGATTACCCATGTCGGAAGAAGGTTGAGATTGACCTTGATAAGTGGAAAAAAAACCATCCTACATGCATCACAAAAGACCAAAAATAATCAATATAACGCTACTAGTTGCAAGAATAATCAATCCATCAAATTAATACAAGGTTGCACACAATAGTAAAAATTACCTGACTAGAAATATTACCCATGGTAACAGGAGGCTCATATTGACCTTCAAGAGTACAAAAACTATCACCCTGCAAACAACCAAATTATTTAATAAACTATTTTCGTAACACACATAACACAAAATTGATAACACATAACAATCAGACATAACTTCAATTAATTACCTGCTTAGATTGCATTCTTTTCTTCTTCGCAATATATTTTTCCATCCCGCCCTTGATCCTCCTTCTTCCCTTAGTAGTTGCTTGTCTTTTCTTCAGTCCCTTGGCTTGGATTGGACAATCTACTTCATCACTCTGTGGGCATGTGTTAGCTGAGGAATTTCTGAATTCAATGATCTCCACTTGACCAAAAGTGTGCACACGTAATTTGTCTTCAACCATGACACTCAGTTCTTCACCTTTTGCAAGTGACAAATGATAAGTTTCTTCACTTTCGGCAGCTCTACTTGCTATAGCTCTAAACATATTCATCAATGACCTATATCGGTCGCTTTGATGTAGTTTGACATCAGCCTTCACATCATACCCACGCCTATCTTTCACAGTTTCAGCCCGTGCTTTTTTAGTCCATCGTTTGAGTATGTATTGTGCAGGAAGGTCCTTTGCATTGATTATCTCTCTAACGGCCTCTACTAACCATGATATTCTGTTTTGAAAACGTTTGTGTGTTCTTATTCCGGTTATTAGCCTAGAATTACTATGTTATGCGCGCAGCAAACAAGTATAGACCAAACCGCCTAAATTGGAACAAAACGTTTCATGTTTGTTTCGAAACCGGTTTGCTACATCATAAGTAGGCTAAAATGCAGATTTTGCCACCCTCAAGTGGGCTTTAGAAAAGATGATTTTGCCACTATCTAGTGGGCTTAAAAACTCACAGTTTTAATGTATTATTCCAATTTAGGTAATTCGACCTCCATCCACAGGCATTCGAAGCAGTTATATCATATAAGCAGCTAGCCTCATGGTAATCATGCTATCATGGTAACATTCACACGCATGCGATATGCTAAAGCATAAAAGCGTACCTAGTACTCCGTGCCAAAACAGTAAACTAGTTAGCAAAATGTGCGTGTCCTAGTTCATGTTAATTTGCCTAATGCAACACATACAAGATGCAATTTTAGATAGGCTCGGTTAACCTAATCACGGCATATGTAATGCGATCAATTATCATGTATTCAATTTGTAAATTGAAGTACGAATGCAGTTAGCGTGATGTACCGAGCCTAATGCATGTAATACCAATGAATGCACGCATGCACAACATAAGGTATGCTAATTTCAAATGATGTCCTAATCTACCATCATGAGCAAGTAAATAAAAGGGAAGAAAGAAATGGGGGTTGGAAGACATACACACACTCACCCACACTTATTACAAATTTGCCCTCGCTCGGAGGGTCCAAATAAATATTACAGATTAATTAACTACGCAAGCTAATTAAATATTACAAATTAATTAATTAATTAACAAATTAACTAATCTAGGAAAACAGGTAAACCGCCTCGAGAAATGCGCCGCCATGCATAGGCTGCCTCTGTTTTCTTTCCTCTGCTCCTCTGAAGGCTACCAAAACCTCAGGACTGCTTCCTTGGACACTGAGGAGTGCCACCGGCTGAGTAGAATTGCCACCGGCAGTGTGGTGTAGTCATCGGCACAAGATGAATCCATCGGCTGCTTGTTTACTGCCGGTCGGCAATATATACTGCCGGTCGGCAAGGAATGTCTGCAGAACCTGCAATCGATAGTAACAGAGTGCAAAGCAAAGCATGGCAGCACAATTCAAGGCATATATGCACCATTCATGTCCCTTCTCAGGGTAATGACTCAAAGGGGCATGTGCCTCGATTCTCGGACCACCAATCGCGCATTTCCATGCATGATGGCCCAAGGAATCAAGTATGCAACTTTCATGTCAAATGAAATGCAAATCAATCAAACAAACTAAAGCCCAACCTCTATCACATGATCGAGAGGCAAGGCATGCATGCCAATGTAATGCAACCTAGGTATGCAAACAAGAATACAAGCATGCTATGCAACTACATGGCATACACAATGCTAACAACATAACATGCGCAACGCTTTGAAACATGGCATACACAATGCAAGGTGGACTTACACCAATGTGAGTGGACCTCAGCCGCACCCACATCAGTGGCCATAAGATGAAAATGAAGTGCCTCGAAATGCGTGCACACAGGCACGCAAACCGAGGCAATGGCATACGCAATGCAAATGACATACCACATGCCAATGGGGTTTCAGCACTGAAATGTGGGGGAAAATAGCCCCGAAATGAGGCGAGAGTGCACCCGATGCATGGAATAGTCCCGAAACATGAATTTTGGCACCCGAAATGGCCTATAGCCATACCAAACATGCACAATATGGGCATGCAATGAATAGACAGTAGCAAGGCAGCCCCAAAATTAGCATTTTACCAGTACAATGCATGGCCAAACAGCAAACATAGATAGGGCAAAACTAGTATGCAAAAATGGCCCTAAATATGAGGTTATGAAGCAACTCACAGCTGCTGACCCCGAATAGGTTAGGGCCCTTCAACAACATTGAAGAGGGGCCAAAAATAAGCCACTTTACAGAACTGTAAAAACCCTAAAAGCAAACATAGGTATGGCTAAGCTTTTGTGCAAGAAAAAGGGCCAAAAGGTGGCCAAAGAGGCAAGTGGTAGATACAAAGCCCAAACTGAAAAATTCCCTTCTACAACATTGAAGAGGGACCAAAAATATGAATATTTACAGAACTGTAAAAAGGCCAAAAACAGAAGCATGATAGGCTGCCAAAGCATGCAAAAATGGGGACCAAAGAGAGGATATAAAGGCAAGTATAACATGGAGGTCCCAAACAGTGTTGAGCCCTTCTTCAATGTTGAAGAGGGGCTCAAAATAAGCCTATTTTCAGTTTACATCATGCTTCAAAACAGATCACACACAAGCCAAAAATTCTATGCAAGATTATGACATTTAAGAGGGGTAATGAAGCAAGTGCAAGCTACTGTCCTCAAACAGCAAGAGGTCCTCAATAAAACATGAAGAGGACCTCAAAATATGATGATTTACAGTTTGGGTCGGAGTCCAAATATGCAAAAAACTATGGCTTAGATATGATGCAAGAATAGGCTAGAAAATGGAAGAAGATGACTCACCTTTGTAGACCAGCAAACCAGCACCTCTTGGACCAAGTTTAGGTGCTCCTAAGCTCTGGAGAACAGCCTCAAGCTTCTGGAATGGGCGTTGGATGCCTTGTGTTATGAGTTGATGAAGAAATGGCCCAAGAACAAGGGTGTTTGATGGTTGAATGGGAGAGATATAGTGAGAGATGAAGGGATATATGTATGTATATATCAGATATATCTATATATCTCTGGTTTTTTGTTCCAAAAATCCAACCTCAACAATGGAGGAGGAGAGGCCCCTTATATAGACAATACTAAGCTTCTAAGACAAGCTTCAAAGGGTGAAAGGGGTTTAAAGGGGAGGTCAAGGCTTATTGGAGAAGCTTGGATAGCTGGTAGGCTTCTTGAGGAAGCCAAGATAAGGGGTCAAGGCTTCCTCAAGAAGCCTTGAGCAAAGGGTGCAAGAAAAGGGGCCAAAGGGTGTGCAAAGGGTGCAAAATAGCCACATATATGCACGTGGAGTAGGGTCTGTGCATCCAGCTGGCACAACTGGCATGCACCATGCTTGAGGGATGAAAAAGGGGCATATCGGCCAGAAAATTTGGTCGTCGGCCAAAATAAAGTGCCGGTCGGCATAATATTTTGCCGGTCGGAAAAATAGATTTCCGACAGATGATTCCAATGTCAAAAAATGGCCGGTGGGTGTCCAAATTGAAGCCCCGGAAGTTAGCTTTCCAATGGCGAGTCAGCTTGAGAATTAGAAGGGATCCCAAGAATGATATTCATACTCAAAGAGAAGACCACGAGATGCAATGAAGCACAGATGGGATACGTTTGACATACACTCTTTTTTGTTCATGGATTTGGTGAGCGAAAATGGGGGAAATTCAAAGAAATCAATTGTCCCTAGTTTCGTTACAAAAGAAAACAATGAGAAAAAGAAAAAATAAACAAAGTACGTGAGAGATTAATGGTTCTAGTTATCATTTATCTTTCTCTTTTTCATGGCTTCTTATCATTTCATATATTTTTTTAAGCCAGTGTTTCCTTAAGTAAAAGGGAAAATACAAAGGCAAAAAAAAAAAGGTTTTCCTTCTCATTAGTTTTCCCTTCATTTTCCCATAACAATTCCCAATTCCAATGCCAATGTTTATGAACCACAAAACTCTTAAAAAATACTTGATCAACCTCAACACATCAAGTCAATAACTTGGTCAACAACCTAGTGACATCTCAACACCAAGTAAAGGTTATGGACCAAAAGATTATACCATCCCATGAATTCCAAAGTTAATCCCAAGTAAAGAGAAAATATGTACGGTATGCAATGCCCTTCAGAGTCCAAAAACTCCAACAATCCATCATCAGCCTCTATAATGGTTCAAATCCTTATCTAGCTCCACATCAAAGGCAAAACATCATTAAGTAACAAAAAAAACCAAATTAAATGCACAGCAAAACTAATTGGCAGTCAAGGTGGCAGTGAAACAAAAATAGACAAAAGTGGGAACAGGAGCTGGAATACAAATTGAACTTCCAAATCCAAAACAGAAGCAAATATGTACAAATTTCAAACGTTGAGCAGCAGAGTGAATAACAGACAGGTCCACTAAAATTTGTCATGTACCCAACAGCTTCAAATGTGCATATAAAACTCAGAGAGAGAGAGAAGATGAACATACTAAATCCGTCCAGGGACGCAAGAACAATTTCCCCTGGCAGGAGGCCAAAGAACTTGTTGCCCACTTTCGAGTTAGCAACTGAACGGGTGAAGAATCCCGAAACCTTCACAACCCCAGTAAGGACCCCAGTTGCTACTTTCTGAGTCATTTTTGTCACCCTCTTAACCCTAAAAGAACAAACAATGTACAAAGATCATAAACATCCATTCAAAATTCAGATATTACCATCCATTCCCTAATTTGACACTCCCAAATCCAATTCAATGATCAATTCTCCACATGTAATGGAAAACCAAACCAAAGTCAAACATTCACAAAATCACAAAGAACCAGTAACATTCAGAAAACAGTCCAGAAAACAATCCAAATGCTTTCAGAAAACAAAAGGTTAACAACAAAAACAGCAGCAAAAAAAATATACCTTTTGATCCTCTTCAAGAGTTCAGGACTGATCTCCGAGCTCGAACTGGGTTTGATCCTCTTCCTCAAAACCTCATTGCCCCATTTCAATCTATCAACAGTCACATCACCACACCACAAAATCCCCTTAATCAGCTGCCCCGACCCTGTCGCAATCAGCTTTGCCGCAGTCCCACTATAATCCTCCACATTTGGCGCCAACGTGGTCCAGTACGCAGCACACTGCTCCTCCATCAGCTCCTTCTTCTTCTCCGACTCCAAATCCTCCGGTGCAATCTCCTTCACAACCGTTACATCCAACACCTCCGATTTCTTCCCCTTCTCCGACACCTTCTGTACTGAAAAGCTACTGTAATGCTCCAAAACTTCATCAAACTCTTTCAACAAACCTTCTTGCCCCTTGGACGCAATCGTCAGCCCGTAATTCAACAAATTATCCGGATCAATCACTGATCCCTTCTTTCCGCTGCTCTCATCATCGCTCGAATCCGAATCCGAATCTGAATCTGAATCGTCCACTTTCGGAGCGCGGAGAGAGAAGAAGTAATGCGATTCATCCAGTTTAACCGCAGCCTCATCTTTAGCCAGTGGCCATTGGATCTCGTCGGCAACGCGGGCGAGGACAGCGACGACATTGTCACCCTGGCGGAGGTGAATGATCGATAAATGGCCGCAAGCGAGCTCGACGCTGTACTGTTTGTCGATCAGGTGGAGGATTGCGCCGGGGACGGTGAGGATGACCTCTTCGACGGACTCGGAAGGGGCGGAGGGGACATTAGGATTGGGGCTGTTGTGGGAAGTTTCGGGTTTGTCTGGAAACAGGTTCTCGACGAGGTCTTTCGTGTCGATTTGTGAAGGCGAAATCGAGGCTCGATTGGATGGAGGCGAATTGTCTGGGCTCGATTGGATCACCTCTGGATGCATTGGGGTTTGATTAGGGTTTTGAGACGCCATTGTTGCTCTGGTTTGAAGGGCTGACGGAGGTGGAGGTGGAGGTGGAGGTGGAGGTGGAGACGGAGACGGAGACAGAGAAGAGAAAGCTCTCTGGAGGTTCCCGCGCAAATGCCGGTAAACGCTGTGTTTTGAAAAGAAAAGGGAGCTATTTTCATTGTTTCATTTTCTTTTTATATTTTTAAAAACAAAAATGCTTAAAATTTCGAAAATACTCTTCATTTTCTTTTTTTTCTTTTTTTTTTTTTGGTCTAAAAATAATAATTTTCTTTTTCTTGAAGAAAAATTTTTAGTCAGTGTAAATGCAGAAAAAAAAATACAAACCAATGAAAAATTTTATGAATATTAATAATTAAAATTCTGAATTATTTTATGTATATAAATATTTTTTAAAATCACCACTGTACCATAATTTTCCCCTTTTTTTTTAATAAAAGTAACATAAGTTATTTTTAGAAATAAAAATAGACATAATTTTCAAGAACAGCTCCGTATATAAATTTTGGGAGACTTGGTTAAAATTTTTTCATAATAAAACTTTAATGCATTAAGGAGAAATACAAAAAAAATTCCTTCAAAAGTCCACTACATATCATTGTGGGGGTTTTTTTTTAGGGTCCCTGGTGTTAAGACTGTATAATATAAAGGATATCTAATATTTTCATAATATCTAAGGTCACTCAACATTGATCTAGAAAAATTTCAGTCCAGAGAAATTCTATTCAGAGAAATTTTGGACTGCACAGAGAAAATCTCACATTTCTCTGGACTTTCTAGAGAAATTCACTTCAACCCAGAGAAATTTCTCTCTCTAACTCAGAGAAATTCACTGAAAACTAGAGAAATTCTCATCTCCAATCCAGATAAATTCACTTAACCTGGATAAATTCTCCCTCTCCAACCCAAACCAGAGAAATTCTTCCTCTCAAATCCAAAGAAATTCCAATTTCTGTGATTGGGATGCTAGAGATGGAGGCAAATTTCTCTGCTTTAACATCATGGGCAACTTTGTATACATCAAGAAGATAAATACAGAGGGAAAAAATGCAATGAAGCCTATTACAGATTCAAAAACCCTAATCTGACCCCAAACAAACAAAATCGCGATGAAACCAGAGAAATTCAAATCATTTACCAGAGAAAATTCAAACCATAGAAAAATCAAAGAAAATTGAAACCAGAGAAAATTCAAGGGTAATTTAGAGAAAATTATCAAATTCAGAGAAAATTTAAAGGTAATCCAAAGAAAATTGCCAAATCTAGAGAAAATTCAAGAGTAATTTAGAGAAAAATCAAGAGTGATACAGAAACTGAGACTCGTCACAATAAATCGATCAAAAATCACTCCAAGAACATAATTTCACAGACCCATTGTGACGCCTCAAATTTAAGGACATCATAATAAGATTTAAAAACTTAAAATCAATATTGCCACCAAGATTTCTAACATCCATTAATTAACAACCCAGAATTTAAAGTTCTTACATCACAACTTAGTCTTAGTACATAACTGAAATGACACAAATATAAAAAGAAAACTAGAAAAAAAAAACTAGAATTTTTAGGAATTGGTTCATGGAACTTGGGCACTCTTCAAGCTAACCAAGGCTGAGTGTCGCCTTGCAAGGCCTCGGTGTCTCCTTCGGTTTCTTCGGTACTTGGCATAAAACGCCAAGGCAATGGGAATGCCAGTGAGCAACGAGCTCAATAAGATACTACAACCCGAAAATGCCCACCCCAATAATAATACTCACAATTCATGAATAATGTGTAATAACAGAATAACCAGTAACATTTAGTAAGCATAAAATAAATGTTATCAGTTGAAATAATAACAATAAATAATAATAAATCAAATAAAAATATAACAAACGGAAACATTATTTCATCATAAGGAATCTGTCCATATATATTTTTTTTTTTCATAGATTTAGGCCAAGTTTGGCAACCCAAAAATAATCCATCTTTTTATTTTTTTATCTTTTTTTCATCACATCACCTTTCTACTTTTCTGCACATCTTTTCGTAAAAAGACAAAAAGTACACTTATTTAGGTCATCCCAAACAATCCTTAGTTTTTTAGATAAATTTAGTCCCTGCTGAGCACTATTTCCATTCAACCACTAAGCAATGGCCACGGGCAATTCTGACTCCCCATTGGTCAAATATTTAAATGTTACTTACTGTAACTACCAATGATGCCCACATACCCGAGTCGTGACATCACAGTCTGCCCCAAGGGAACGGTTTACGTTGTGACACCCGCACCACCAACCTTATATCGCCTACACCGATAAGAGCCGAAATACCTTCCCGTGCCATGTTAGGGTTCGTAACTCACTTGCGCAAGATTCTTGTCATGACCCAAACCCGCCCCTATGGGTTTAGCACCGTAACCGGCCAGTAATCCGAGATTACCGAAGGCCTGCTTAACAGTAATACAGAGTACAGGGGCATGGCGGAAGCCAAAAAAGTAAGTAAACAGTGTCCAATGAGCTGTGACAGTCTGTATACAAAAAGACTTTTCATACATATATACAATTAGTGCAAAACAGTTTGTACAACATTTACAAAAATAGATACAGAGACAGACGGGGGAAATTAAAACACTTCTAAGCCATAGCTTGGCAGGCTCGAAACCTCGCAATGAGGCACATAGGTTGGCTTGACAAAACTGGAGTTTACCCCGACGCTTCTAGCAACGGTCCGGTGCCTATACACCTACATATATATATATATATATGAGCAGTGAGCTAAAGCCCAGTGAATAACATAATGCGTAAAGAGGTTAAAAATGAATGTCCTTATAGTATTGAAAACAATCATTTCAATCAGTATATCAGTTATTCAGTCATTACAGTCATATATGGTACATCCAGTAGCAAAACAGTACAGTAGGTCTTATCAGACCGAACAGTTAGTTGATGGCCATCATATCAGTAAACAGTAGTGGTTCCAACATGGGAACCGACAGAGATCTCTATAACAGTAGCAGTAGCAGTAACAGTAACAGTAACAGTAGCAGTAACAGTAGTTGCTAAGGATGCCACAATACAGTTCACAATTAGGACATCATTCATTCAATAACAGTAACAGTATCATTTCAGAAAACAGTACAGTTCAATTGTTCAGAAGATAGTCATATTTGAACATATCTTTACACAGTTGTTACTCACAGAGTTCTGGGCTACAGTTAAGCTAGAGCGCGTCCTCAGATGCCAACCCTACACAGTTACAGAGTGAACACACACTAAGTTCACAGTTGGAAAAATAATAACTTAATCCCTATCTTGACTCGGTATGGTTCTACATCTATATCCTCATTAAGATGTCTTAAACTAGGCCTAAGAATGCCTAGGATGAAATGAGGATGCAAAGATGCACTTTAAAAGCATTTTCAGAATTTTCAGAAAACAGGGGTCCCGCTCGAGCGTAGGTTACTCCGCTCGAGCGGACATGCAGACAAAGGTTTCCGCTCGAGCGTAGACTTACCCGCTCGAGCGTACTGCAAAACAGTCAAAAGTGCTGGATGTGTGAAAATTACGCTCGATTGAACGCTCGACATCGACTCGAGCGTAAGACACAATGTCCCGCTCGAGCATAAATTAACACGCTCGAGCGGACTGCAAAACAGAACAAAATGCTGGGAGCACGATTTCCACGCTCGAGCGCCAGTCACGCTGCTCGAGCGTGAGTTCAAAATCTGGGATTCCCAGATTTGAACCTCAAGCTCAAATTCAACTTCAAATGTATCAAATTCGATTCCTTTGGGCCCATTTCTTGGAAAATACTTCAAAACTCATAGTTTAACATGATTCAAAGCTCAATTGTAAAAATCAAAGCCCAAAGGTAGTTCAAATAAATCCAATTTCAAACCAAAACTCAAGAACATAACTTAAACATGACATGCATGAGTTTAAACCAATTCAAAGCTTCAATTACTTGCTTAAATGAGTCAATTCCTTCAAAACCAAGATGAGTTCATGGTCCAATGCAAAAATATGAACATGCATGTGCCAAATTCTATGTATTCAACCTCAAAATGCTAGGATATAAGCATGCATGCATGGAATGAACTTCAATTCAACAATTTAAAGTTAATTCATGCCCTTAATCTCTAAACTTCCATAAATCATTCAACATATAACTTGATTACATGAACAAGAAGGTACAATCTCTACCTTAAGTCTTGAATCAAAGGCAAGGAGGCTCAATTATGCAATCTCTCTTCACTTCCTTCAAATCTCCAAACTAAAATTGATGAATTCAAGTTGAAAACACTCTTTTCCTCTCACTCTCTCACTCTAGTCGGCCATGCTCTCAAAATGGCTGAGGAAGAGTTGTGTAATGCAAGACTAAGTCTTAGACAAAGTTTGGTGTAGTGGCCCACTCAAATGGCAAAGTTATAATTAAAGCCAACATATGTAATTTATCAATATTGATCCAATTTAATCATACCAAATCAGTTTTCAAATAAACACACCACAAAATCACATAAATTCTAATGATCAGAAAACATCAATCGATTCTGGATTCGGCAGCCGATAAGGCCTTCAATTCGCAATTTAAACATAAAACATGGACAGATAATTTAACAGTCAAACAGATAGAAATGCATTTAAACTAGTACATTCAATCAGTCAGTTCAGTATTTCAGTCGATTTAATTACTTATCATAATCAGTCTCAGTTTAGCAGTAATCAGTGGGGTTGTCAGTAATCAGTGGTGAGGGTTATTACAGTCTCCCTCCTTAAAAAGAGTTTAGTCCTCTAAACTTGAGTTACCTTCATTTTGGAAGAAAACAGGATTCAGAGGGAACAGTTCAAGATATCTCTTGGCCATGTCATCTTTCCTTTCCCAAATGGCATACACACCACCATGGTTTTGCCAGTCAACTTTCACTAACGGGATCTCTTTGTTTCTCAACTTCTTGATCCGCCGTTCCTCGTAAGTGTAGTCATCACTCAATACTACACGAGTAGGCTCTATCACATGAAAAGGATCCCGGAAGTAATCCCTCAACATAGAAATGTGGAAGACGTTATGCATATGCTCCATTTCAAGAGGAAGCGCTACTTGATACGCCACCGGATTGATTTTCTCAATAATCTCATACGGTCC